ACCTTGTTGTCCCCCCCCCCCACATGTCACAATGTCCCTTTAAGCCGGAGACCCCGGGGAGAGCCGTGTCACTGATCTGAGGACCTTCTCAGGAAGGAAGCCGTCCTTGGATTCAAGTCCAGGAATGTCGCTAATTCACCATCAATACGCTTCTGGATCCTCATTCCAAGGTGATGACATAACAGCAACGCGCCTCCGCAATGTCATTCCCTTCGCCTGCGTTACGCCGTTCTCACGCAGCGCACTGACGTCACCCCTTTGTCGCCGGTTACAATCTGACAAAAGTCACGTCTCTGACTTCACATCACGGGAACGTTCTTTGTGATTTACAAGAAAATGAACATTTTATCTCAGCGTAAACTTCCGGATGAGAGAGGACACCATATTGTCGCATTGTCCACATCATTTCCAGGGGCCCCCCCCCCCGCCGCGGAACTACGCGGTCTGCTGTCCCGCAGGACCCTAGGGCGCCACAGTCCGGCACATTCCTAACACTCGGCTGATTATTATATTCAAATTTGCACTTTTCATTTTTAAATAACAAAGTTATTATTAAGAATCGGGAAGTATCGATTTATAAAAGGTCGTTTTGCTGCGATATCAATGTTCAGATTTGTTTTTTTTCCGTTTTGGTAAATATTTACATTTATAATATACACTGAGTGGCCAGATTATTATGACCCCCCCATCAGTACTTGGTTGGGCCGCCTGGTGACTCCACGAGATGATGAAAGGTGATGCGAGGGATCTGACACGGCACTGTTACCCTTCTGTTGTCTTGTACCAGTCTTGCCCCTCCCCCGTTCTGCCCTAACACTGACAAGTCGCTGACGGCCACAATTCGCACGTTCAGACCCAGATTTTCGGCTGACAGTCCGGTCTTTAAACACTTTAACAATGAGCTGCTCCTGAACATGTAACGCATTCTGCTGTTTTGCTGATACTCGCTCCATGGCTCCGAGCGCCAACAATCATACATGTGTAAAACTTCTGTAAAGTGGAATTATTCAAAGCTTTGAAGCCAAGAGACTCCCCAACAGGTCAGACTGGATGTATGAAAATAACATTGTATCACAGAAGTGTATGAACGATACAAGTCACCAATCCAGTTTCACATGACGGGGTGAAAGTGAAGGGACGTGTAGATGAATGACGGCAGCCAGCTGAACATTCACTGCGGATTTTGAATTGTGCATTGTAAGCGTGCTGAAACACGCACATACATGACAAGAGATATAAAAAGTATTTAATTATAATATATTATACATGATATTGTATTATATTATTAGCTCAGTATCCAGCTAGGAGGCAACAGGTGAAATCGAGGAGCCGGCAACGTCCTTCAAAAAGTTACATTTAGCCGTTATCTGTCATTTTCTAGGCGCTTTGGTGCCCCGGCTCCTGGGATGTGCACGAGCGCCTTAAATGATATATAAATGGCTGGTGACATTCGATGTTTAGGTTACAAAAGGAAAAACAACTATACAAACACACACTGCAGAAATCATTTAATAAGGCGGGGCATCAGAGAACGCCAACGCGTCGATGGAAACCCACAGCAACCGTTCGTTCTTTCGTCGGGGGCCATCAAAGCTATAAAAGTGGCTTTTCTTATTGGTCGCCTTAAGTTATTGCTGTTAGCACATTGCTATTTGCTTTATTAAATAAGTCCAGATGTGTAACGTATATTACGTGTGGGATGCCGCCAGCCCATAGGAAGCTTGCCCCAAGTGGCACAGGGGGCTCTGCAGTCCGACACATTAAACCCAGCAGCTGTGTGTCGCTGAGACGCGGCCTAACACATTGCGTTTCCCCCGGCACGCAGCCCTGAGATTTACAAGCCAAAGAACCTTTATGGCTGCTGAGATGGGGAAAGGTACACGGGGCTTAACGTGAAGCCTTTTTAGCTGGGGAAAGTTAACTCGGTGTTTAATTCGATTCGACAGCACAGGAAAGTGCCTTTTCCGCGGCACGGCAAGCGGCAGGACATCTCAATTACCCTCTGTGGCATCGTAAGAGGAACAAGCCGCCGTGCGGAAGACAGATAAAAAAGAAAACCGACGGCTGCGCTTTACGCGGGGATGAGAAATTTACACCCCAAGACGGAGGAAGAAAAATGAATAAAAAGTTTCGGTTTGGTTTAAAAATTAGGCGCTCGCCCCCCTGCGGGAGGTTCAATCCTCCGAGCCGCGTGTGCGTGGCGCTTTTTAATGGCGAGATGTCTTTGTGAAATGTAAAGCGTTTTCTGCATGGAGCCTTGCCAACATGGTGCCCACTCTTGCCACACACTCCGCCATTCGGTGTTGTGGAAAGGTCATGGGCTCCTTTATCCTTAAACATACGCGTGTCCTCTTGTCCTAGACCATCCTGGAATGCGTTGAGCTCCATGCCATGGAAACCAGGATGGTCTAGGACAAGAGGTCACTCGTATGTTTAAGGATAAAACCATCTTAGCTTACATCTCCAGAGACTCCACCAATTACATAAGAGATCATATGTAACCCTCGTCATTAGGAAAGGTCGCCAGCAATCTCACATCTCCTCTATGCGGTGAAGCACCTGCCACACTGACATTACACACAACATATATATATATATAGAGATGTCATTCCCACTCCTGAGGATAGAGCATGATACAATAGATCAGTAACAGTAACAAATGATGGGTACTTACACCTCTCATTACGATCCTCCGGGCTCGATGACGTTTCTCGGTCTGATATAAGGCCGGAGACAGCAAACAGTTTTTTCCCAGAATCGTCCACTTTAAGTCCCCCTGGGGAGCCCGTTTGGACATGAGCCCCAAACTCGTACTCTTTCCCGTCGGCGTCAGAAAAGCGCAGGTGAGGAGATTCTGTGTCATGGCAGCTCTTCAGCCGCTTGGCCGGGGTGAAGGCGGACTGGTAACTCTCCCGCTCCTCGGGGGACGTGAAAGGCCGGAAGGCGCCCACCCCGCTGTGATTCAGCATGCTGATTGGGGAGCAGTCTAAGTTCGGAGGGGCAAACTGGGGGTGGAGGTGGAGTAAGGAAGGGGGAAAATCACGGTTGGAAAATGCCCCGGGGACGCCACCCTGGCGGTGGTACATGGAGGTAAACGTGTAGGAGCCATTGGTAAACGGGATATGTACTTCCTTATCCACCGACACCGGCACCCCGAAGGGTCTGGGCTGCTGGCAGGAAATGGAGGCGTCCCGGCTGGCTTCGGCCGTGGAAGCCAGGACCATCAAGGCCGGCGACGCCAGCGGATTGGGCAGGAAGGAAGAGTTCTCCATCTTAAAGGCAGCCCGGTGCAGATCCATTGCCGATACTTTGGCCTTTGCCAAGTCGAAAATTTCTGTAAAGATTCCCCGGGAGGCTGGCGCGAAGGGGTCCTGGCACCAAGTAGGAAATGTCACTTCATGTCTTCCCAAAGGAACCTGCGCCCGTAGACAAGAGAGAAAGTGAGAGAGAGAGAGCCACGTCAGTCTGAGTCTCAACATACAGCAATCAATACATAATTATTGTTTGTGTTGCTGCCTCTCAGGCATATACATCGCAATTAATGAAATTATCAAGCAGACGGACATTTAAAACCCACACGAAGACCCGCACAAGTGCTAACCATCTTCATTCCATTTGTCACAACAACAGTATTTATTATTATGATGATTATACAGGATTTATATAGCGCCAATAGTTTGCACAGCGCTTTACAATATAAGGAAGACATTACAGTCACAATACAATTTAAGACAAGATGGTAAGGAGGGCCCTGCCCCTGAGGGCTTACAATCTAAAAGGGAGGGGGAAGTGATACATGAGGAGATAGCTGCACGGGGATGATTGTTTGAGAAAGTGATTGTTCAGTGGTTAGGGTGAGGTGGGATAGGCTATTTAAAACTCATCCGGCTATTCCGCAT